TTAATATATCTTGAGTCAAGATTAAGCTTTCATATGAGATAGTACAATTTTAAATCATTAAAAACTCTTTTTAACCATAGCTCATGATTTGATAGAATTTTCACTTGTTAGATCTTTAATCAAAGTTTTGAAAACTAATTTAGATATCGATTCAGAGAAGATAAATGTTCAGCTCTGAAAGAGTTGAATTGGGAACAAACCAATGTCGAATATGTGTAAAAATATTTAAAAAGTAAAAAAGATAAAACGTTGGGGATGAAATTGAGCTCTCGAGTGAACGGGCAAATTGAAGATAGGTTCAACTCCCGTTTGGTGAAAATTCAAATTAAAGTCAACAATTATTTTTAACCACACACTTTTCAACTACACATATCATAAACTTCTATCAAAATCTACTAAAAATCTTATTTTAATTTGTGCCAAACAGGACTTAATTGGTTTTACATTTTCCAATTTTCAAAACATTGCTTTTAACAAGAATGAATTTGGCCTTCTAAGAGAACACATTTGAGGATGAAATATAAATAAATTAAATTTTATTTTTGTTATGAATAGGTTAAACTTTAATATTAGATGATTGAATGTGTGGTTTAGATTGCTAGTGAATTTTTTAGATAAATTTTTTTTTTAGTTTATACTCATAAAACTATCTCATGCTTAGGGGACCTAATTTTTATATGCCACAAAATCTTGGTTGGTATTATGCATCTTTCACCACAAAAAATAGACAATTTTGAAAAGGAAATTCATCTTTAATATTATACTACTACTACTACTACTACTACTACAAGATTTATCATGTGTAATTTATTTCAAAGTATTGAAAAATAAACAGAAATTAGCATTCCGTACAAGGCCCATAAAAAGTAGTAGATTATTTGAGAAAATGTATCAATCGGTTTGTTTGAACTTTAGAATACCGTTCGTTTGAAATTTTTAAACATGAAACTTATGAAAATGAGTAATTCTTAGTCTTACATTTTCATTATCCTTTTACGCATTTCAACGATGTATAATTTCATTCATAAACAAACAAATCAAGAATCATTTAAGAGCGAAAATAACTCATACCTTAATGCTTTGACACCTATTTTTTGAAATTTGATTTTTTTAGAATAGTAATTGATGGGAGAGTATGTGCTGGAAAAGTTATGAAAAGTTTTAAATTTGTGTGTAATATTATTTTATTGGAACAATATATGATTGAAATGAAATAAGAGAAAAAAATGAGAATGAGATAAAGAATTGGTGCCAAACATGGCCATAATATATATTCTTGGTGAACAATATTATGGTCAAGTCAAGATCTTATTACACAATTAGAAAACCTTAAACCAATTAATGCAAAGTTCAAAACTATTATGTGTCTTATGTTAGACAAAACAAAACCCTTCATTGATTGAGACCTTGTGAAAGATGCAGACAAAGAGAAGTTGAATTTGGAGAAAGCCTTGGATTTACATGAATATAAAACCAATAATACCATTTTGCTGAGGTAGATAGATAGATAGATACAATATTCATGCATATCAGTGTGTGTGTGTGTGTGTGTGAGAGAGAGAGAGAGAGAGGTCCACCATCTTTACCAAAACCAAACCCTATCTAGCTAATCCAATAATAACCCTCTCAAATCTAAGAACTCTGAAAACCCTCTGGAAAACTCTTTAGAAAACCTTAGTAAATCGCCGTCAAGTGTTTTGGGAAAGTGGTGGGATGGAGAAATCTGGTGGGTGACACCCAAAAATCCACTTCTTTTTACTCTTTATGGCGAAGAATATGAGTGCCTTGATTCATTAAACAAGGCAAAAAAAATACCAAGAAAGTAAGAAAAAAGAGAGACACAGGGAAGCCTAAAGTCCATTAATCAATATTTTTGAATCGTTACACCCTTTATCGTACTTCAATTTCTTGGCCTCTCTGTAAAAGTTCATCTTTTGGTGTAATAATATAAGCAAGCAATAGAGCTAGACTTTGAGGGGAAAGTATGGATCCAGTAACAGCATCAGCACATGTTCATTCACTTCCTCCTCCTTTCCACACAAGGAATTTCAATTTGCAGCAGCAATTTCATCATCAGGGCCATAATTCTGAAGATGAGCAGAGTGAAACCAGTGGCCTAAACATGGGACAGATGCGAAATCGCGATGAAGGCAGGAATGAAAACAACATGAACTCTGGTGAGAGCGAAGAGGGCGGGGCCATGGGAATGGGAGGAGAGATGACAAGAAGGCCTAGAGGTAGACCAGCTGGATCCAAGAACAAGCCGAAGCCACCAATCATCATCACGCGTGATAGCGCTAATGCGCTACGAACCCATGTCATGGAAATTTCAGATGGATGCGATATCATGGAGAGTGTTGCAAACTTTGCCAGGAAGCGCCAAAGAGGTGTGTGTATCATGAGTGGAAGTGGCAATGTGACTAATGTAACCCTAAGGCAACCGGCAGCTCCTGGCGCGGTCGTGACACTACAAGGAAGATTCGAGATCTTGTCCCTAGCCGGATCTTTTCTTCCGCCGCCTGCTCCGCCTGAAGCCACTGGGTTGACTATATATTTAGCGGGTGGACAAGGCCAGGTGGTGGGAGGTAGCGTTGTGGGCGCACTTTTGGCATCGGGATCTGTTATAGTCATGGCTGCCTCATTCAGCAATGCAGCATATGAAAGGCTCCCACTTGAAGATGAAGAGAATCCCATCAATCCAGTGCAAGGTGGCTCACTTGGATCTCCCCCAGGTGGTGTTGGAGGGCGGCAGCAGCAGCAGCAACAACAAATGATGTCTGATCCTTCTTTATTTCAAGGGATGCCACCAAATCTCCTCAACTCAATTCAGATGCCTAATGAGGCCTATTGGGCTAGCGGCCGACCCCCATTTTAGCCAATTCAATCAAACTCAGAAGGGTAACTCTCTTGAATTCAACATGTTTCATTTCAACTCATCAAGGTTTTCTATCTAAAAACTATTAGGCAGTTGCAGTTGCGTTTGGTTTGTTTTGGGGTTTTTTTTTTTTAATTACTATGAGCTATCTTTCCAGTTAGGCTTTTTCTTTCCAGTCTGATGATTATCAAATATTGATATTAATGATTGCAATTTGATTAAACTAGATTGTAAAAGTTTGTTTCTTGATGAGCTTTTGGAATTCTTAATCTCAATTCATTATGAAAAAACAAGAACACCTCTTATTACTATTATTGTTTTTACCTCATCAGTCACATAAATAGAAGAAGGGGTTCATTTAAAGCCATTGACAGTTTCAATGTGAGTTTGGGAAAACAATTTACGAGATACAAAGAAAAGAGGTATGGGTTTGCTCCATATGCAGATAATTCCCACCATTTTTAGGGGTGTAGATACTGGTAAACACGTGCACAGTTGTGAGGAAAGCTCCTTTTCGAGGCAAAGTGTAAGACTTAGGCTGTAAAGACAACGAGGAAAAAATTTCCTTACAGCGTTATTGGAATTGAGGTTATCTTTTTGCAAAGGGAAGAGAGAGAAAGAGGGGGGAGAGTGAGAGTCCAAATTTATTTATATCCGATTCTATGAACTGAAGCAAAACCTTCTTCATATACGCCATACTCATTGTAGCCTTTTCTTGAAACAACCCATGTACTCATTAAGATTCAATTATCCATTCTTTGGTTTCAACTTTTGCTTTTTCTCTATGGATGATCCTTTCTATCCTCCATTTAAAATATTTGGATTCAAAATCAATTTTATTAAGATGTTTACTTATATCAGTATCTGTATTTACAATACTTCAATTAATGTCATGTTGATATTAAGTTTATATATGTTGTTACAAAAATGACAATTTTAAAACATTTATTTCTACCTCTATTTTTTGGGCATTCTTGATCCTACAATTGTTTTCGATCAATTGAGGTATTCGAAACCTTATTCCTCTCAAACTTTTAAAGTCCGGCGTAAACATTAAATAGATGTTTCTTGAATTGCTTGATCTAGATTTTTTTTTTTTTTTTTCTTTTTGTTCCTTTTCTTTGTTTTGAGTTAATATTGATGAAAGGGTAATTTCAAATACAACTTCGAGCCACGGATTTTAACTTATTATTAGATTTTTTTTTTCTAAAATATTCTAGTAACCCTCATATATACAATTAACTTATTTATTCTTGAGTATATGTCAAAATGTTATCTACTTCCTAATTATCTTGACCATAGAAGTGATTGTTAGTTTATGCCGGTAAGAGTACTCTTTTGTAATAAGCGAGATATTATGATTAATTGTAAAATTCAATTATAGCATTTTGCATATTTGAGGAAATAATTATTAAGGCTTTATGATCATACGAGTAGTTATAAATTGTATACATAAGTGGTTAAGTGTAAAAAACCAATTAATTAATAATTATTTTTATTTTGATAGGATCGTATTCGTACTTGGGGTTGTCTAAACTCGTTGTAAGAGCAATGATGCCTTTGCATTACAATTACATTAGACGGGATCGTGTGAATATTTATTTGTGTGCTTGAAATAATACTTCATTTGATTATTGAACGAGTCACCTCAATTCGAGCGGATAATGAACTTTGACTGTTAGTTAAAATTCTTAGAGGTATCCATAAGTAACATATAACTTGTAAGATCAATACCTCAATACTAGAATCAAAATAAGACAATTGACAAACATCTATTTGCAAGATGGAGTTCGTTAATCAAATTGTGAGATGATCGTCATTTCAAGTATTTCTCTAGTAGGCAATCGAATCTGAGCTCGGTAATTTAAAAATGTGATCATTGAATTATATTTGTAATTTGAGCACAATTATCTGTCTTATGAAAATGAGACTCGAAGGGTAAAATAATATATTATGTGGACATAACGATCAATTTGTGTGACTCTGAAATATTGATTGTCAATCAGAGTTTGATTTGTTTCCGTGATAATTTAATGATATTTTTATTGGACAACGCTAATCTTTGGTAATATCACTTGACCCAAGATGATAAGCCCGACTCTTTATTGGATGGTACGAGCCAAGATTAATAAATAAATCCCAATTGGTCTAGAGTGGACTAAATTTAGATTTAATGTATTGGAGATTGAATCGAGTGGTGCGATCGAGTGTCTCTAATGATTTCAAATGAAGATGTGGACCAAATTATAAAAAAGTAAGTTACAAAAATTATTTTACTTTTAGGGCTAAAGTAAAATAAAAGCCAATTTCGTCTTTCCCTAAGATTATTTTAAGGCCCTTTAAAGGTGGAACACATAAGAATCTAGGCTAGGGTATACCAAAAGGCGAATTGGGGCTAGGGTTTTGAGAAAACTCTGAAATATAGTTTTTTTTTTCTCAAATAAAATCTTAAATTGAAGAGACAAAAATCTTATTCTTTTTTTGGTTTCATAGTAATCCTAGGAAGGTTTTACTTAAGAAAATATGTTATATGTTTTTTTTTGCTAGGATTACTCCAAAATATTTTATTTTTTATGTTATCCGAATGAAATAATGTGTATGAGATATTTGTCTATATTATTCATTTTTAGTCCAAAAATTGAAATTATAGTTTTTTTTTTCTTTTCTTAATAAAAAGAATAAAATATAAGTCACGTCACTAATTTGAAGTAAAATAAAACAAAAAATAATAATAATAAATATCAGTTAGTTGTTTTTATACTTTATAACTTTGTATATCCAACAAATTGATTAATTATAATTTGAATGAATAATTTTGTTTTATGAATTATGGTATCAAATTTAGGGTTGGGCAAAAATTAATCAAAACCAGTTAAATCGATCAATCCAACCCAAATCAACGGGGTTGGTTTGGGTTTTTAGTTCAATTGAGTTGCTTTGGGTTTTTAGTTCAATTGAGTTGGGTTTGGATTAGTAAATCAAATTTTAGGTTGGGTTTCGAGTTATTCATTAAACCTAATTAAACCCAATAAATAATAATAATAATAATAATAATAATACACAAAAACCAAAAATCTAACAATCAAGTTTCTCCTCTACCTCTCATCTCTTCTACATCTCATTGTTGCTCGTGCCTCGGGCCATTGATCCAATCTCAATCCACTTAAGGCGTATCAAATCACCCTTTTTAGTGTAATTGAAATTGATCCAAATTGAAATGGTTTCAAACTTTCAAAAAAATTGTTTAAATTCAACGAAAAATGTTCCAACCATTTGACCCATAAAAAATTGTCCAAAAAAAGAATAATCAAATCCAACTTGAATTGAAATAAAATCCAAACCGATCAACCAACCCCAAAACAACCCCAAGTTTGGTCGATTTGGGTTGGGTTGAGTTGAGTTGGGCTTCAACCGTGAATGGGTTGGTTTCGATTTAAATTATGAGGAAATTACAGCCTGCTACGGATTTGAAATATCATTTTCACAAATCAACTCACAATTTTAACATTTCAAAAATTAGGTTTCTATATTTAATTTAATATTAATTATATATTTTCCATCTCAATTAAAAAACCCAAATCAACCCTAAAATTCATTCCNCCTTCAAGTATATAACAAGACTCGAAAGGGAAATAATAAAAATTACAATTTCACCTTATACCTAACTTATCAATATTTCTTATGTTGGTTTATATATGAAGAGGAAATTACACCAATCCCTACTTTTAAATTACCATTTTCATAAATCCTAATTTAAGTTTCATATTTCAAAAATCAGGTTTTAATTAATTTAAAATTTTTTTATTTTTATTTTTATATCTATTTACCATAAATTCATTTATATAATTCTCCCTACCCTATGTACCCCGAAGCCTAAATCAATTGATCCCTCAACCTCTCCACTCAATTCCACCGCCCGTCTCTTTGCACTACTCCTACGACGTCACTGCCTCGGCCGTTGGATCTTCTTCCTCTCATCTCCCTATCTTGTATTCACTATTCTCTCGTCACTTTCCCTAGATTTTCGCAGATCCAACCATTTTTCCCTCTACCTCACCGTTCTTCTCTCGCAGTTCCCTGTTTTTTAAACCGCCGACGCTGTAGCCGTCTATCTTTGCCGTTTCTTTCTTTCTTTTTTTTCTTTTCTTTTCTTTTTTTTTTTTTTTGTGGCGCGGTAGTTGCGGTGTTGGGATGTAGCGGTGGCTAGGGGTGTGTATACGTGCCCCGATTGCGATGGTTGGGTGTTTGTGCATGGGTGCGGCGATTTTTGGTGCGACATATCTGTTATTGGTGGAGGTGCGACGATCGTGGAAGGAACAGATCTGATTGGATGCTAGGTGCAGATTTGTTTTGGGTGCGGTTGGTTGTGTTCTGTGTGCGGTTGTGTGTGTTCTGGTGTTGGCGATGGATCGGGCACTGCGAAATTGAGGATCTGAAGTTGGTGGCGGCGGTGGTTGTGTGTTCTGCATTGTTTTGGCTGTGCGTGTGGCAATGGTGGTTTTGGTGTGGTGATAGTGGTGTGGGGACGGGTAGTGGTGCCACTGGTGGAGGCATGGCGAATGGTGGAATAGTGGTCACAAATGATTTTGGTGGTG